GTGTTACAAGAAGTTTGGTTCACAAATTGCGGTCTAGTACCCCCGCGAGTCTTGGTCGAGTCGAGGTCGAATCTTCGCTAACGTCCACTTTAATTCTCTACACTGGCCACTATTTTTGTCCTATCGGACAGTCCCGGGGGGGAATAATGCCAGAAAAATTGGGTGGGGGTGTGCGGCCCATTCCCCAAATTACTTACTCTATTTTTGCGATTTTCCCTATCCTATTTATAACCTGACCAAAAATTTAATACGCTATTTATGACCCCAAAATCTAGAAAACTAGATTAAGACAGAAATGAAAACGCTCCCAAAATCATTCTTACGCTTACCATATTTGTAGAGCATGGTGTAATGGCTCATAACCCATGATGGCTAAGCCAGTGAAAACTCTCGAGCTGCGTTATCCCATGATCTGGTTTTTAATTTAAAAAAGTGATATTTAGGTCATTTATTATATCTCAATTGGTACGCGCCCTGTGATTGGTCAATATGGCGGGCCGTATAAAATTGTACGGCACGCTAAAATTTCAAGCTGTTTTTTTTGCCAAAATGTTTCGTGATTTATCGCCAAGTGTTCTTAACTTTTGTGGCAAATAAAAGCTTAAAACTTTCTTTTACTCCTGAAATTGTGTATTAAAACCTACTAAGGACTTAGAGTCACTTAGCAACGATTTCAAATTGAGCCCGTTTTACTTTCGAGTTGCGTCAGCAATTTGAAACCGTTCCGCGTAAATAGAAATCGTTCCCGAACCCGTCAGACACACAGTAGTGTAATAAATATCTTATAACCTCGTTTTCTCGGTGCGTACTGTAAGTTATGGATCCTCGTTTTTCCCCTTCGATTTATGGCCCGCGCGCTTGGGCCATAAATCTATAGTACGGCCCTCGAACTCGGTTAGTAAGAGGTATGTATACGTATAAGGCTTAAGTCTCTTTTCACAGAGAGGGTGTATATTGCAGGTTCCCTTGAGAAAAACCAGATTAGGATTTACGATCTAAGATCACTCGGATTGTAGTACGGCATGAAAGGAACCGAGAAATCCTAGTATAGAGTACATTCCTTTGCTGCACTAATTTAAATTACCCCTATGATCACATTTTCGATATCCATTTTTTTTTTCACATTTTCGTACACAATGGTTCTTTCCTAGATATCTTGCCAAATTTTTGGACCTTTATTTCCGAGAGTTTACGGCCGCCATTAACTTTCCTTGTTCCAAGTCTTCGTGGAGAATTTGAGTAAGTGACTTCATTTTCTCCAAAAGAAAAAAAAACATACCACACAGGTTGAAATTATAACAACAATTAGTAATGCAGTTCGCCTAACGAATAACAAGAATTTTGGCTCTTTTATTCCTACAATTTTTTACTCTGATTGTTATTATAATTTCAACCTGTGTGACAAAATTGAGCAAATGCGTCATTTACTCAAATTCTCAACCAAGACTTGAAACAAAGAAACTTAATGGCGGCCGTAAATTCTTGGAAATAAAGGTCCAAAAAACGCAAGTTTTAATGTTCGCATTGGACTGAAATTTGGCAAGTTATCTAGGAAAGACCTATTGTGTACGAAAATGTAAAAAAGAAAAGAAAATGGATATCGAGAATTTGATCATAGGGGCAGTTTAGGGTCCAAGTGATCTTCGATCATCAATATTGAACTGGATCTACCTAAAGGAATGTATTTTTAGGCCTAATTACTCCAGTAGTGTTACTTATGTTCTCTTCAAACAATTGGGTTTTTCTATGTTTTGTTAAGACCGTCGGCCAATCAGGGCACATATCGTAAGGGCTGTGTACCGCCTGATAGTTTGCTTAGTTCAGGCATACTGATAATGACACAACGGTGTTTGCTCGTGTTTAGTATACTTGTTTGTTATAATTCCATGAATTTATACTTAGAAGTGTCAGGTACATGAAACTTGAAAAAAAAAATGAAAAGAGAGAAGAAAATATTACACCAGTTTAAAGCACGACAATCGTTCGCTAATCCGCAAAAAGCGGAAAACAACCACACATTCAAAACTCGACTGGCGGCAAAAACGAAACTCCTCTAGCTTCGGCTTGAATACTGAGCATACGTGAAATATCTGGAAACCAAGTTTTTACAAACAATTATAAAAAGACAGCTGTGCCTGAGAAGTACAAGTTTCGATGCGAAATGAGTACAGGCTAACAAAGAATTACATGACTCTGATTTCACCATGGGCTCAAAGTATAAAGTACCAAAAAAAAAAAAGTTTTCACCATTCAAAATGGTTCCAAATGTCCCATGGAAAATATGACTAACATTTTTCCTCTTGTAGACCGTTGTGTGCAGCTGAGACGTTCTAAGCTGCTCACATCTTGAGGTGGGAGCAGAAATGTGAGATGTTGACAGACACCTTAACCAAATTGAACCGTAGTGTAACCGAACCATTTATCAAAACATGCGTCAGGGAGATCATTCGTGACCATGTACACCAACTCAAACGACCTCTTTCCTTGAAGCCGTTCACACAGTTTTGTGGCCTTCTCTGTAGGGGCGTCAATACAGACCACAGGAGAAGGTTTTTCTTGTCGAAGAAGCTCCTCAAACACTGCTTTCAACAACTTCTCTGCAATTGCCTCTGAATCTGCAAACAGCGGGCCAATCTTGTAACTTCCTTTGATAAACGTTGGTCGGGCAACCGTGTAACCCACGGTACAACCTTCACTATCGATGGCCACACGTGCATGACTGCCAGTCATGCGAAGCCATTTGGACAAGAACGCGTGACGTTCAAAGCCAAAAGCTGTGGCGTCATACATGAATAACGCCTGCATATTCACTTCTTCAATGCTTTTGATTTTTACAGGTAATCTTTTCGATGTCTCAGAGAAGCAGGCTATAGTGGTTGGAATGTTAAAGACGAAAAATGCCCCGTAAAACTGACTGCGAAATCCATTACATTTGTTCATTTCCTCCTGCTTCAGACCCGAAATTAATGCAATGCTGGGAAAATGCTTCGCACTTGCCATACCGGCGTCATATATTTTCTTGCCGTATTCCCTTCCTCTGTATTCTTTGCTCACGATATAAGAGCCGCCGAAAGCAAAGCTGTTGCCATATTTTGCTATTGTGGCACAACAAATAGGTTTCCCGTTTAACTCGCCAACAAACCCTGCTGTCGGATCACAAGCCATGAAACATTCAGCATCTTTTAAACCTGGACCCCAGCCTTCCTTTACCATCGCATTTATGATGATACTTTCGAACTCCTTTTTTGTCTTAATGAGGCGAATTTTGAACTGCTCCGTGCCAGACAAGCTCGTATAAGGTTTGTTAGCAACAGCAAGCAGTCTGTTTCTTCGAGTTTGATAAAATCC